TTTACGTTTGAATTTGAAATAAATAATTATTGTTAAGTATGTTACAATTATTGTTAAACATATTACTATTTTTTTTATTATATTACTGTTCATGTTACTGCATTTGTTGAGTATGTTACTGTTCATGTTACAATTATTTTGAGCATGTTATTATTTTTGTTGAGCATGTTACTATTATTATTTTCCTAAATATTAATATTTAATGTTATTATTTTTTTTTTGTGTTCAAATATTACTATTTTTTTGTGTATAACTTTTTTTTGTCCTTGAATGTTATTATTTTTTATTTTTAATGTTACCGTATATATACCTAACCTATATGTGAATATAGATAGATATGAGAGAGAAAAAATTTTAATGTTATTTAAACTCTTAACCTATATATGGATATAAATAGATATGAGAGAAAAAAAATTTTAATGTTANATACAGTTCTCTTAGGAACAAGAGATTCTATTAAAGTAGATTAACTAAGTTCTATAATCGGTGAACCACTATAATTTGTGTATTTTTCCTCTTCTCAACTCATACCATAATCACTAATTTACTGTCTCTCTGAACATCTTCTATGTCAAGCACGTATACTTTTTTTTGGCTATTAAAAAAAAGAGTGAAAAAAAGGAGAGGATTCAGAAACTATCTCGATAAACACTCATCGGTCAAGCACGTATATTTTACTGTTCATAAGCCTCGAACTCTTCGACTTAAGCATTTTTCTCATATTTCGAGCGCACACATCATCACTTAGTATTAGGGGTGTTCACCCTACCCTACGGGTAGGAAATATGTTGTTTCGTCTTCCTACCAGATATTTTGCGGAAGAGTTTTTTTTTTGCCTACCCTACTCGACAGGTGTGGTATTCTTACCCGACTTCTTACCCAATTAATCAGGTTAGAAATCGGGTAAATATTTTTGTAATAATTAATTTTTGGATCATTTTAACAATTTAATTAAATAACATGCACCAATTTAACAATACAATAAATCAATTAACATTAAAATCTAAAACAACTACAAGAAGAATTATAATAAAACACAAGAAAATATGAACATCAATCCACCATAATTGTTACAAAAATACAATAACAATTAATTTAAGTTTAAANCTACAGTTCTCTTAGGAACAAGAGATTCTATTAAAGTAGATTAACTAAGTTCTATAATAACCACTATAATTTGTGTATTTTTCCTCTTCTCAACTCATACCATAATCACTAATTTACTGTCTCTCTGAACATCTTCTATGTCAAGCACGTATACTTTTTTTTGGCTATTAAAAAAAAGAGTGAAAAAAAGGAGAGGATTCAGAAACTATCTCGATAAACACTCATCGGTCAAGCACGTATATTTTACTGTTCATAAGCCTCGAACTCTTCGACTTAAGCATTTTTCTCATATTTTGAGCGCACACATCATCACTTAGTATTAGGGGTGTTCACCCTACCCTACGGGTAGGGAAATATGCTGTTTCGTCTTCCTACCCGATATTTTGCGGAAGAGTTTTTTTTTGGCCTACCCTACTCGACAGGTGTGGTATTCTTACCCGATTAATCGGGTTAAAAATCGGATAAATATTTTTGTAACAATTAATTTTTGGATCATTTTAACAATTTAATTAAATAACATGCACCAATTTAACAATACAATAAATCAATTAACATTAAAATCTAAAACAACTACAACAAGAATTATAATAAAACACAAGAAAATATGAACATCAATCCATCATAATTGTTACAAAAATACAATAACAATTAATTTAAGTTTAAACTTTAAACCATATGAAATACATTAAAATCATAATTGTTCCGCCTGTGATTAGGGTTTAGAATTTTTTTAGTTTATATATATATATATTAAAAAATTATTGCGGGTAGGGTAGGGTAGGAATGCAAAAATAAATGACTATTCTGTATTGCTACTCAAAAATTATCAGAAGACCAAAAACTCTTCCGTATTCTTACTCAATTTTTACGACTAACCGTTCAAGGTAAAATAGGATCCGATCGAATAGAAACTTACTTGGTATTCTTCCGTTCAATTCAAGATTCGTACCAAAATACCGGCACAGTCANATTAGGGTTTAGAATTTTTTTAGTTTATATATATATATATTAAAAAATTATTGCTGGTAGGGTAGGGTAGGAATGCAGAAATGAATGACTATTCCGTATTCTTACCCGAAAATTATCGAAAGACCAAAATCTCTTTCGTATTCCTATTCAATTTTTACGATTAGCCGTTCAGTAGAATAGAATATGATCGGATCGAATAGAGACTTGCGGCTGGTCAAAAATTTGAACATCCTTACTTGGTATTCTTCCGTTCAATTCAAGATTCGTACCAAAATACCGGCACAGTCAACGCGAATTAATTTAATAATTGAATGACACAAGCGGGTGTGCATTTAAGTCACTCGGATTTGGGATATATAATGGTACTGCTTGCCTGCACTGCAGGGAATTTAAACCACTTTAGTATGCAATTTAATCTACTTTCGTATGCAATTTAAACCACTTATGGCTTGTTTAGAAGTATCTTTAGGAATAGTTTGGATTGAGTTTTTCAAATTATTCTAAACTCAAACTCCTCTTTACAAATATAATATTTAACATTGAATCTAGTGCATACTCATGTTTGATATGTTCACAGATATATCACTATTATGATAATACATTTGTATATAAATGATTATTGTGACCCTTTATCAATCTAATTCAAACTCATGTTTGTTTACGTATGAGATATAATTATTTTTTTGTATTTTGCATTCATTAACTCTCATCTGAAATCCACCCCCTATGGATTTGATGAAACTCATAACCTAGGGTTTAAGGTCCAGGCCAATAACGGGACGAGTTTGATAATCCAGACTTAAAATTTTTGGCCAAGCATGAGTTTAGTGTATCATTTAAATTATTTTTCCTNAAACTCAAACTCCTCTTTACAAATTTAATATTTAACATTAAATCTAGTGCATACTCATGTTTGATATGCTCACAGATATATCACTATTATGATAATATATTTGTATATAAATGACTATTGTGGCCCTTTATCAATCTAATTCAAACTCATGTTTGTTTACGTATGGGATATAATTATTTTTTTGTATTTTGAATCCATTAACTCTCATCTGAAATCCACTCCATATGGATTTGATGAAACTCATAACCTAGGGTTTAAGGTTCAGACCAATAGCAGGCCGAGTTTGATAATCTAGACTTAAAATTTTTGGCCAAGCATGAGTTTAGTGTATCATTTAAATTATTTTTCCTTGGTCCATCTTCCAAAACCTCTCAACCACACTTACCAACACAGCCCCTTAGTATGGTGATGGTAGTGTCATAAGCAAGTTGACCATGTCCCCCTCTCAAGGCTCTCCCACCCTTTGCAGGAGCTTGGGGATCATCCTCTTCTCTAGCAATTAAAGGGCCACTTTCTTTAAGGGGCCTAATGCCATTATTTTAGTACATATATGTTTAGTTTGGGTATAATATAATATAACTAGCTAGAACCCCATATTTAAAGATACTATCCAATATCAAAAATTGAACACTTATTCTATAATATTTATATTTTAAATAGTAATTTAGTTTTTTAAGATGAAGGGAAAGGTAAGTGTTGATTGATGAGATTGTTTAACATTAGATAGTGTGTTGATTGAGTTATTTGGTATTGGGGGCCGTGCAAAAAAATTGGCGTATTTTGGCAAGAAAAAATATTTTTGGTATGAATTTTATACTATTGAATCAAAGTAGATAAAAATTTGATTAATTTTGACCGTTGTTGTGTTTTTATAAGTTGAAAATTTAACTTCCTAATTGTAATGTTAGATAAATGTCAAACAATTAATTACAATTTAGTTCATAATGATAATNGTTTAACATTAGATAGTGTGTTGATTGAGTTATCTGGTATTGGGGGCCGTGCAAAAAAATTGGCGTATTTTGGCAAGAAAAAATATTTTTGGTATGAATTTTATACTATTGAATCAAAATAGATAAAAATTTGATTAATTTTGATCGTTGTTGTGTTTTTATAAGTTGAAAATTTAACTTCCTAATTGTAATGTTAGATAAATGTCAAACAATTAATTACAATTTAGTTCATAATGATAATAATAATTCTATTATTTTATTTTATTCCAATTACTTTATATTTGGATCTAATTTCAATTAGTTGTCTTCATACCAATTTCATATTTGGATGAGAAATTAATACATAGCATACTTTTTTTTTTTGGTATAATATTTAGCTGCAAAAGTAGGAAACACTTTTTTTTTGGGGGGGGGGGGGTGGGATATACAATATCAACTAGGTCTCATGTAATATCACTTATTATACATTAATTATTATTATACCGATCGGCCCGTACTAGCAAAGTCGTGAAAATTGGACCCAATAACAAAGTATGTTATTAGATAATCATCGAACTAATTGAATCCAAGCTCACCCTCAAATACCAATCTTATAAGCATACCATAGAAGACTTGCATCATAGTTAGAGGTATGCATTGTTCTTAGTATGAGCAAGAAAAATAACAACTTAGCTCAACCTCGCCTATCCCGTTCCCAAAGTTTGATATATTCTATTCTGTGACTGAAAAAATATAATTTTTTCTGTGATACACGTGACTCTTGTTATTGTAAGATAATTTTGGTGAATAATTAATGTTATAGAAAGGGAATCATTCCCTTCTCCCCCTTTCTTTGGGAATGAAGGCCAACTCATCTACTCCATTCAATTATCATGGAAACTTTTATACTAAAATTTAATGAATTAAAGGACAATAATCAATGCACTATGCTAATGCTATTAAATTTAATAGGGTATTTTGGACCACTGGATTAAATAAAGTTGCCCTTTATACTGCACTGAAATCTCAGTGGCAAAACCGTATTATTAAAGAAATTGGAAGGCCTTTTGTAAGTTGAATCTTATAATACGCGATTAGTTTCTCATTCACCGAGTACTCTGCACTCTCTCTCTCTCTATTCTCTCTGTCTGTCTGTGAACTCTCGGTTGGAGTGTACTAGGAAACGAGAGATTCTTCGATTAAGGTTGGTATGTTAAAACTTGCCACTGATTTGGTATGGTGTTCTTACATTTAATCTTGTTTTGGGAACTGTTTTTTTTTCCTCTTGAATTTGCTCTGTTTCTGTTTGGGGACTGTTTTTTCCCCTGAATTCAGTTTGATTTTGGGAGTTTCCTGCAAAAGATTGAGCTCTGAGTTCAACTTTTATGAATGATTTGATGTTACTGGAAGTGGGTCGGTGGTAGATTGGCCAAAAGTTGAATCTTTTCCTTTCATTTTTTCCACCTCTTTCTCCTTGTATCCACAAGTTTGTGTATGTGTGTGTAATGTTTTGAGGTTGCTTAAACGTTCAGCTCTGTGTTTCAGTCGGTATAATTTGTCATGTACGGATGTCTTGTTCATATGTATATATTTTTTTAATTTGATGCTTATTTCAAGAAATGTTCTGGTAATTTGTGTCCTTATTAACTTGTTAACCAAACTCTGTTAATCTTATTTGTGTATTTGATCTGAGTGAAAATGCAACTAAACTAAGATAGATGAGATTTTTCTGGGAAGAAAGATAGATGACATTTTTTCAGAAACTAATAAAAGGAAAATATTTTTTTTTGGAATGTGATGTTTTTCAAATCCATATATCAGTTCTTATATGCTATGGTTGAAAATGAGCCCTTCACCATTTTTTTTTTTTTTTTATCTTCTTTCATTAAGAGGTTTGCTGGTGTTTTGTGGAGTAAATGTTGCTATGTAATTGTTTTCCCTGTATTGACGGTAAAAGGTTTCTGTAAGAGATTGCTTTGGGTGGTAAGAAACTGTCATTTGTTGTTTTCTGTGGAAAATCTTAATGGAATGATTTCTCTAGGATAGGGAATAGTGACTTTTTGGGCATGAAATCTGCTGTGAGTGCTACCTTAAATTTTGTTTGATCATTGAAATGATAATCGACATAACTGAAGTACAAGCAAATAATTTGTGATGTGAAAAGACGTAGACAAAAGGGCTGATCTTTGAATAGGAAAAGGAGTGGATCTGCAGGGTCCCAAATGAATTGGCTTAATAAGAATTTTGTTTGTTCTTTTTGGCTTTCTTTGTATATATCTGCATTGATCTTGTTACTATTTTTGTGCAGATTGTGTTGCTTTCTAAGTATAGATCTGTCTTCAAGTGTTCCAAGTTACGGAGTTTCTTTTCGCTAATTATAGGGTTTCCTGTCTTGCAGGTATGATTACCCAGTTTCATCTATGTTTCATACCATTTTGACTTTATCTTCGTGTTAATTCATCCTGCCAGAATAAGTCAACCTGAATATTCTGGTAAAATACAGGAACCGGGCAGACTAACTGCTTCAATGCAAGCATCGCAACACCCGAGAAGATCTAGCATGTCCAACACGTTGTACTATCAGCCTACACAAAAGATTGAGGACTATTCTTTGCCACAGTTTCAAACTTTAGACCACCAGTTACATTATAATGGCAACCTTGCAAGTCAGTACTCCACGCAGACTTTCCTTGGAAAGTACTGCACTCTGGAGTCATCCTCCGCAACTGTCAGTTGCACTTTTTACAACTCACCATCAACTGTCAGCTTCTCACCCAATGGAAGCCCCATGTCCCAACAAGAATCTCAGTCATATCCAATCGATCCACACCACTCACCAGAAAATACTTGTGGTTCTCCAATTAGTGGATCTTGTGTTACGGATGATATGAATGACTTTATGCACAAGCTGAGAGAACTGGAAACCGTGATGCTGGGGCCTGATTCTGATATTCTTGACAGTTCCGATAATACCTTATCGAGCTGTAAAGCCTCACCAGATATAGACAGCTGGAGACAAATGATGGAGGCTATTCACAGAAGGGACTTGAAACAGGTTCTCATTACCTGTGCAAAGGCGGTATCAGAAAATGATTTTCTGACCGCACAGTGGTTGATGTCCGAGTTACGCCAAATGGTGTCAGTTTCAGGGGAACCAATCCAACGTCTGGGGGCGTACATGTTGGAAGGGCTTGTTGCAAGGTTAGCTGCCTCAGGAAGTTCCATATGTAAATCCTTGAGATGCAAAGAACCAGCAAGTGCCGAGCTTCTTTCTCATATGCACATTCTATATGAGGTCTGCCCTTACTTCAAGTTTGGATACATGTCAGCAAATGGTGCAATTGCAGAAGCAATGAAGGATGAAAACAGAGTCCACATTGTTGATTTCCAAATTGCTCAAGGGAGTCAGTGGATTACTCTGATACAAGCTTTTGCGGCTCGCCCTGGTGGCCCACCCCACATCCGAATAACTGGTATCGATGATTCCACCTCTGCTTATGCACGTGGAGGAGGACTAAATATCGTGGGACAGAAGCTATCCCGGCTTGCCGAGTTATTCAAGGTGCCATTTGAGTTCCATGCTGCAGCCATGTCTGGTTGTGAGGTTCAGCTTGAAAATCTTGGAATTCGACCTGGGGAGGAGGCACTGGCTGTGAATTTCGCATTCATGCTACACCACATGCCAGATGAAAGTGTCAGCACGCAAAATCATCGGGACCGGCTTTTGAGGCTGGTTAAAAGCTTGTCACCAAAGGTGGTGACCCTTGTTGAGCAAGAATCTAATACAAATACTGCTGCATTTTTTCCTCGTTTCCTTGAGACCCTGGATTATTATACGGCTATGTTTGAATCCATTGATGTGACTCTTCCAAGAGAACATAAGGAACGGATCAATGTCGAGCAGCACTGCTTGGCAAGAGATGTTGTAAACATTATAGCATGTGAAGGGACTGAAAGGGTGGAACGGCATGAGCCTCTTGGGAAGTGGAAGTCACGGTTCAGAATGGCGGGTTTTACTCCCTATCCATTGAGTTCGGTCGTGAATGCTACAATCAAAACATTGCTACAGAATTACTGTGACAAATATAGGCTTGGAGAAAGAGATGGAGCTCTCTATCTGGGTTGGATGAACAGAGATTTGGTTGCTTCTTGTGCATGGAAGTGCAAAAACTGAGCATCTTGGTTTGGGTGAACATAGATTTGGTTGCTTCTTGTACATGGAAGTGAAAAAACTGGTCATCTTGATTGTTTGAACTGAGATTTGGTTGCTTGCTTGTCCACGGAAGTGAAAAAACTAGGGACTTCAAAACTTTTCTTCATGATCTGGGATGGCAAGCTGAGGTAGATCCTTTTGTTTTTCTAGTTTCTCTCTGTTAGTTGCTAACAGCTCCAAAAATGGGTCCCCCCTTCAGTAGTGTACTTCAAAATAAATCATATCTAGTCTCTTTTATTTGGTCTATTTTCAACCGAAAAATTGGCTTTGTTGCCCCCGAATGGATGGCTAATTTCTTTGATAATCGGAAGTGTTTAGTCCTGGGCATGCACTGACGACAATGGAACTCTATCGATCCTTGTATAGATGGCTTAATGTTCTTTTCTGGGATTTCCATCCAATCACCAATTTAAGTGTTGTAGAAAAAAAACCAACAAGGTTTTCGAAAAATTTCGTTGCATTATCCTTTGATTACAGCCCAAATTTGTTATGGTACCCGCACTGTAGGATGTTATATTACAGATTTTTTACTAGTTAGTAACTGTATTTATGCATAAGGAGTTTGTGGATAAGATGATCTGGCTTATGTTGTGCTAGTCTGTTGGGTACTGTTATAGAAACTTCAGATTCTCTATCATCNGTTATATTACAGATTTTTTACTAGTTAGTAACTGTATTTATGCATAAGGAGTTTGTGGATAAGATGATCTGCCTTATGTTGTGCTAGTCTGTTGGGTACTGTTATAGAAACTTCAGATTCTCTATCATCCATTGACACAGGACTTTAAGTGAGAGTCCCTTGGGGGAAGCTGGGAGTTGTTTTATGTAGCAGAATTGGTTAAATCGAATATAATTGAAGGCCTATGGTCTGCTTGAAGACCGATCGAACCATTTCAAATTGCCATGATACAAGCGGTTGCATCATGGAGCTCAACGATGACCCCTACCACACCTCCGTGTGGATCTATATCTTGGCTCTCGGGATGCTGCTTGCATGCCTAGCATAGCAGCATGCCAACTGCAGTGATGCCGAGAAACTTTGCGAACTTAAGACATAAATTTACTCTCAGTTGNCACCTCCGTGTGGATCTATATCTTGGCTCTCGGGATGCTGCTTGCATGCCTAGCATAGCAGCATGCGAACTGCAGTGATGCCGAGAAACTTTGCGAACTTAAGACATAAATTTACTCTCAGTTGGCTTCATTTTCCATTCTTTTTGAGTCCCGGGCGGCGAGGTGTTGAATACTTCTCCCTCTTAAATAGCTGAAGTTCAAGCAATTACCCCAACCAAAATGTTGATTGCTAAATATTTAACATAATAATGTTAAAAAGACCATACACCCATACATTTAGCAAGGACTGCATAGTTAAAATAGCAGTCAATCAGTGCTAGTGGCATCAGCGCCTGTCAACAATGAGACACTTTTTATAAGTTACACATTCTGTTTCAATTTCCTTGTTCAAATGATCTACAAACAGTAGATGTTTTCCCACCACCTGTTCAAATTAGAGGCATGATTTTGAGAAACATCAGAGACATCTTTCTCTGGAGGCGGCTTTGGCTGGCTCATACCCGGAATTCATAAATAAAACAGACACAGAACTGAATGGGAGCAGGAAAGGTTTCAGATCGGATATGTTTCTTCCTCAGCTTGCGCTAATGTGAACCACCATCTCAAGACCAGCCGCTGCTTTGTCTTCTGGTCTAGACCTTGACTCGCCATTCAGAGTTTCTGTACTAGTATTTGCTGCTGCAACAGTGGTATGCGTAACAGTCCTTGCAGGCGGTATATCATGGTCATGTTGCCCTTCATACGTGGTAATAACAACATTTGCATCATGGGATGCCCGCTCCATTTGTTTCTTGGCTGGGCAACCAGCATTTGAGCACCTATAGTAACTCCTACATAAAATTGGACAGAACTAAAGTAAGCAAGTCACTGAAGTTCAATATGGTAAAGCTAAAAAAACCAGATGTGTAAAAAGGATTAGAAAATAAGCATCTCCACCATCTGTACAAATAAGAAACAAGGACAACTGTCCATATTTAAACAGAAAACTTGTGCTACAGCACGAAATCAATTGCTAAAAGGTTGTGATGTCACTAGCATTGCTCAATTTACAGCTCTAAATGTAAGCAATTTAACTGATAGTTTTTCGTGTATGCAAGCAAACATGGGGCTGAGAAGCAGTTCTTCAGATTGAATTTAATAGGACTACAATGCTCCCTTCCCCAAGAAGTTGCATATAGTAGCATCACCAGTATGTTTATCAAAACAAATACACAGACATATGCATCCATCAGATTTCCCTTTCAGTACACATGGAAGCCATAAAAATCTAGTATGCTTGCCTAATATACATACCAAGAATGAATCAATTAAAATTTGAACCATTTCTTGATTTTTATGTGTCACCCATGCATAGAGGTTATGCTAATTTTCTCTGTATCGTTCAATGCTATTGGGGTGTACACATAGTGCATTCAAAAATCTAGACACAATCGGACCAAGAAGTTTGAGACCTTATAATGGAATGGTCTTATTGCACGCGGTGGAAAAATTAAAAAATTGAATATTAACCATTCTTTTAGATTTTAACCGGAAGACTTTACAGACATTTATTGGCTATTAATTAGCTTTCTTCTTTCTTCAACTTCAGTTTGTGAGAAGAGTAGGGGCATGCACTCTGGAATATTTTGTGTCTACTGTTGTGTCTCATAAGAGGCATATACTCTGATCTATATCTACGTCTCTGAAGCCATAAGCAACATCTAAAACAGTGGCAGACCTGCGGTGCATCAGGAGATCACCAAGTTGCAGAAGCTGATATCTAGGAATTGATGTAAAATGAAAAAAGAATGAGGCCAAATGTAGAAAACTGGATGGGAAAGAAGATGATATATGGTTTTAACGTACTATCTGTTAATGTTCTTGCGGGGGGGGCTCAGTTCAACATTGAATAAGATTTTTAAAATAGAACAACCCTAATTAGTTACTTTATCAGTTGGCCAATATTTGTTACCCAAAGTGCACAAGAAATTTTATTTGACCTTAGCAGAATTTGACTCCAAAGGAATAAATAAGCAAAAAACCAAGGTAGTTGGGATTTAACTCGATTTAAATCCACTACCAAACACACACAATCGAAGAACAAATCAAGAATATAAAGCAATAAGAAACAAGAAAGAACAAGACACATATTTTACGTGGTTCGGCAATTTGTCTACGTCCACAAAACTGTAGGGATTTCACTATTGAGAGAGTTGAATTACAGAGAGCGGCTGTACAATCCACAACAAACCCTAATCACCAAAACAACAGGGTTTATATGTCCTANGAAACAAGAAAGAACAAGACATATATTTTACGTGGTTCGACAATTTGTCTACGTCCACAAAACTGTAAGGATTTCACTATTGAGAGAGTTGAATTACAGAGAGCGGCTGTACAATCCACAACAAACCCTAATCACCAAAACAACAGGGTTTATATGTCCTACGCACTGGGCTGTATAACGGGCCCAAAAAATTTTCCTCAGGGGACAACACGAGGCTTGTCCATGAGCGCTACGGCTTGGGCCTATCGGCCTAAGCCTTCGCTCCATGGACTAAGNGGACAACACGAGGCTTGTCCATGAGCGCTACGGCTTGGGCCTATCGGCCCAAGCCTTCGCTCCATGGACTAAGCCTCAGAAAATTTTCCATTAAAAACCATACAACATTATTTCGGGTCGGGTCATTATCTGGATCACATATACAAACTAGACTCCATAAAAATAAACCAACATCATCCAAGCTGTTCAATTTTGTCATATTGTGCTTTGGTTTTCAAACAGGTAAAAGAAATGAATCTCATCAAATTCATCTGTTATGCACATTATATTTTTGGTGTATTGATAGTTTCCTTTTTTGTGAAGNGTTCATATTTAATTTAAACCAAAGGTTTAATGTTGGCCTGATGGCCTTGAGATGACATGAAATCCAACCAATTGGACTAAATCTGATGCACAACAATCACTTTCAAGTTTCCTCTACTTTTGATACAAGAGATTCAGCGTTGAATCCAGTTGTGCAGCTTTTCTATAGATGGCATACAGCTACATCCCCTTGGAACTTTGGTGGAATTCCCCAACACGTGGGATGGGAGGGCCATTCACGGTGGTAGATTAGGCAGGTGTTTCAAAAGGCACAGTACCTCTTCATCATAACAGAGGGGAAAGGTGTTGGGAAGAATCACAGACATATCGCAGCAATATGCATAGTTTTTAAATTTAAACTTTTATCATCTCCTTTCAAATTTACACATAATGCAATACATCAACAGAAATTCATACGACTTTAAAGATACATGGGTGTTTTTTAAGTATAATCTACTATTAAATGTCAAAAGAGCATAAATGAATTCATTACACTATTCATAGCAACAAATACTTCTACGCAACACAACAAAGAAAATGCTAGTTTTGATTTCTTTAATTAGTTTCCTTAACTTTGAAAATATACCAAAATGAGACAATATATACTTTCTTAAAAGTAAAAAAATGCTAAATTTGCTTATTATTGTTAGAGAATTACCAAAATATATAATTAATAAGTAGGGAGATAATATCAAAAATATAAAATAAGTTTTATTATAGACGTACCTTGGTCGTATATGTATCTTATTTTTTTAGATTTTGCCGTATCGTCGTACCCGTATCCCATATTCATATTCGTGCTTCATATGGTGTCAGCCATTATCCACAACTATGAAATGCGGCTCATCACAGTATTTTACATAAAGTAATCTACAGTTGCCATAGATAGGGACATACTGCCTATTCTCATTAACAACATACAGAAAATGCAATCAAGGTAAGATTAAAAATAAGCAAAGAATTGTAGGTATTGTACATGAAACATTGAAATCAATATCTACACTAACTTATCCAAAAGATACTTACCCAAAAAACTCAGCCAAAAGAAATGCATACGTATGTACCTTGGATTTGGATTTCCCTTTACCAATTTCTGCCCATACTTGCGCCAACGGTAGCCATCGTTTACTATATCAACCTCGCTCATAGTCTGAACAACTTGTCTTGGTTCACCATTCAGCTTATCCACCTGAGTATCATCCAAACTAGAAGTATCTCGCTTCCTGTTGCAAAGATAACAATTGAATAGGGATTAGTCTATTGCAGTGCCTAAATGTATCTAGTCCAATAGCTGTTGGTTTAACATACTGTCTCTTTGACGCCGGGTCACCATTTTTATCAACCTCCTCTCTTACAATATTTGCCTGAGAAACTGCACCTTCCACATCATTTTTACTCTCAGCAACAGTAGAGAGCTGATAGGTCTCAGTCGGCCCAATGTGATCAGATGTCACTCCACTTGCATTGGAAGATTCATCTTCAAATAAGAGGTCAACAAATAAGTCAAGCAACTTATTGGTTAAGCCAAACCAAAAATCAGTAACAACATTCATTACATACCTCCTGCTATAGGCAGATGAGGCACATCAGGCCTTACTGCTTGGATAGGCAGCGCCATGCCAGCAGTTATCTGGGGACCATTCTGAGGTTTAGGATGTCCATGGTTTCCCAGGTATTTAATATCTGTTATCTTCCCATCGTGTGATCGTTCCACCTGCTTTTTTGCCAGGCAATTAGGATATGTGCATTTGTAATAGCTCCGAATAAACTCATTTCCTTTGACAAGTTTCTGCCCATATTTTCGCCAGTTATATCCATCTTCTAATGTTTTTACAGGTATTCTCGAAGGACTGCTACCTATTTGATCAGGTTGTAGAGCTCCGATGTCAGGGTTCCGTCTTGGCTGCAATTTATCCAACACTTTCTGAGGTCGTACAGAGAAAGTGTTTTTTTCTTGATCAGTTTGTGATGCAGGAACTCCAGTATCAGGGTCCTGTATTTGACGTACACAATCTGAAATCTTTTGAGGTATTGTAGAAAGAGTTTGGCCTTCTTGATTAGATTCCAATGCATGGAGCCCAGTATCAGGGCTCCGACTTTGCTGCATTTTGTTTGAATTTGACACAGGCATTATGGGGAGAGAGCTTCCTTCTTGATTGGATTGTGGTGTAGGGATTTCACCATACAGGTTCTCTCTCAGTTGTAAATTATCTGACTCTTCCTTAGGTAGTATAGACAATGAGCTTCTTTCTTTTTCAGATTGCGAAGTAGGGATCCTGTCATCTAGGCTATGCCTCTGTGGCAAATTATCAGATACTTTCCCAGGTACGATAGGGAGTAAACTGCTTTCTTGATTGGATTGTGCCACATGTGCCTCGGTACTAGGTCTCTTTCTTGGCTGTAGTTTACTAGACACGTTCTGGGGTAATACAGATAGAGAGCTTTCTTCTTGATTGGATTCTACTTCATGGAACCCAGTGTCTGGGTGCTGTCCCCGCTTCAATTCATCAGAAGGAATATTTTCCGACACACCTTCCCTTGAATTAACCATGTAAAGAAGTAAATTTGGAGCAGCATAGACAGAATGAGTTCATCTCAGGCACCATCATCCTGACATGTCAAACTGGTAGTGAATGTGAATAAAATGAGTCAACTTGGACAGATGTGACATGTTGCAAGTTGTTCAAATATACAGATACATGTGAGAGTTATTTGATATCTAAATTATTCAAGTCTCAGTGAATATCAGGAGAGAAAATCCAGGAAGAAGCTTGAATGAAAAGAAAAATTAAAAAACACTAGTAATGATTGTTTTTTATACATTTTATTTTTTGGGATGGTGTTGTTTGACTTCTTGCAGAAAACTGGCATAATTTGGAGTTTATAAACTAATGATTAGATTAGATCATCTAAGCCAACTGTGTTGTTTGACGTCTAGCAGAAAACTGGCATAATTTGGAGTTTATAAACTAAAGATTAGATTATATCATCTAAGCCAATATATGTAACCTTGACAAAGATGTAAGAAATAGATCAAGAAATTTGACATAAATTCCTTTGAGTTCCAAAATATGCGCAAACTCACACAAAAACATGACTGCCTCAAGGAACAATAATAATGATCATTAATATTACAGTAACCACTATTTTTTTGTTCGTAGCCCAAACCGTCTAATTTAACTATTTGGAATGAACTTGAACCTCATTTCTCCACTCCCAGACACCCAAAAAACTATATATTCCTTCCAGAGGGGGCGATTGACGCATAATCACAACCACCACTCCTCGGAAGGGCTGCGCATTTGCTTTGAACTGGTGAGTCCCACCGCAACCCTTCAAGGAGAGAAGTCTNCGATTGACGCATAATCACAACCACCACTCCTCGAAAGGACTGCGCATTTGCTTTGAACTGGTGAGTCCCACCGCAACCCTTCAAGGAGAGAAGTCTCTTATTACCATAACTTAAATGAGAAAGAATAGCCATATATAAAAAATTAATGCTACATGGGTTGTACAAAATGTACTATAGTTTTCTTGTTTAGGTGATTCAAATGACAATTTTGTAAGAATATTTGTTAGATAATGATGAATAGCCCATGCCCATATCAAGATTCAGAGAGCACTTGTATTACTGCTTCTGATCCCTCATTTTTATCGACTCGAACCCCTCTTAAACCTCAGCCACCAAAAGATGAACATAACAGAAAATTTGATATTATGATTTTGACCAAAGAATCCATGACATACGCAACCTATAAGGCCCAAGCCTTGAGCGCTGCCACCCAAAACTGTTTACAATTATTAAAGCCAATGTGCTTGGCAGTAAAGGACTTCCCATTGATATTCAACAGAAGAAAGAGCAATCTCACTACCGATGATCAGTTACATTCCAAGGCTGATCAAGCCTTCGTATGAAATGCATCTTTTGTTTTCTTCCTTCATTTTTTCTTTTTTTTGTCCAAAACACTCTCAAACTCTTAAACTTTGTTCGACAAATTAATTCCAACTTCTATGTAAAACCAGTGCGCACACGATCGTTCACAACAGTAATTTCATAAACCCTAAACCAGCTTTCAACAAAAGGAATTTTAGGGACATTCAGATAGAAGGAATCAAATATCTCAGCAGAAGAATTACAGGAAATTCGAATTGAAACTCATATAAATTCATCAGAGGCCAAAAAAAGGAGCATTTCTTAACAAGTATGACTGAGCACACCAAAAAACCATATCCACTTCTGACTCGAATTCCAACGAGGACTGTACCTTTTTTTACTTCCCGGCGCCAGAGAGACAGTCACAGACGCCGATTACACCGGACGTCGCAGTTGACACCGCCGGAGAAGATTTTCCCAAGATGAAATCAGCTTTTACCTTTTTTACTGAGATCGTCAAAAAGCACAGAGCTTCGCATCCAACTTGAGCAGAATTGACTAAGTTTTAACCACTGGACTAGGGAGAGAGAGAAAGAGTTTTTATCTGTGGTAGGAATAGCGTTAGAATCTGTTTGTTCTGGCAGGCTGCGATTGGGGGTTTGGTTTTGAACGTTGCAGGAGTACGTGGTCCTTAGGTGTGAGCCGTTTGATGTTTGGTGGTGGGGTCACGTTGCGTGTAACTATGGTGGGCCCTCAGGGAGGCTGATGTGAAGGTGTTCTTGTAAGAGGTAACTCTTTCCCTTGTTCTCCGCTTTCCTTAACTAACTTGTCCCCAAATTTTGTAATATTTTTTTATTTTTTGACCAAAAAAAAATATATATATACATATATATATATATATATATTTATATATATTTTTAATTTTAATAATGTTGTAATTTATATTTGAAATCAATCTTTTCTTTTACTTTGTTTATCATTTTAAAATTGTTTTTAGGGTAAAAATTATTGATACATAAATTTTCAATTGTTTGAATTTAGTCTTTTAATTATCAATTCTATCTTAATTAAGTCATTTTGTTTATTTTCACCGATAATTCAACACTAAAAAAGGTTAGATTAAACTAATTTTTAATTGATCTAATTACAAAACTTGATAGAGATGGTTGAGTGATTCAATTGTCACGACAAAGCCTAAGGGTCAACTATAATTTTTACCCTTATTTTTACAATAATTTATTTTTTGTTCAATAGTTAGAGGTGTTTTGGCTAGCTTACACACACTTTGATTAATCTCATCTCCAGTTCTGTCAAAGGTAAATCGTCCACGCCAAGATTAGGATATTTATAAGGGATAAATTTCTCATGGTCTGATTACAAAAAATTGTCAAAATTCAAACTCACGGCGGAATTAAGAGTTCGTCTTTGACTCTCTACTATCCCTTTAACTGCCCTTAGCATTTTTACGACAAGTATTGGCCTCCTTCGTAATGGACGTAAATGAGTACGAATCAACTCGGTTAAGTTAGAATCAGAATAGTTCTAATAAATCCATCTACAATATATTAAGGAACTTTTTGTGTTTTTTTTCTCCTTATTTCTAGTTGTTTTTGTCCCATGTGTGCTATATCTTATCAGATTGTTTCATGGGCAGATTTCAATGAGTTTTTTTTGTAAATGACTTCGAAAATAAGCAATTTAAAACAAACGTAAACAACATTAAATTCTTTATCAAGCAATTTCGACTTGTGAAATTTCTTTTATGATCGTAATTTTTACTTTACTCGTAATAATATTCAAATCTCGATGTTAACTTTTGAGTAGCCATACTTTTATAATTATGTCAAAATATATTGTCACAACGATAAAATTATACTTCATAAAGAAAACAAAACTTGGGAATGAAATAGGACCATACTCTTTGTAAGATTGTATGACAATGTATCCTCCCATAAATTAAGATCTTTTTGGGCCCTAGTTTGTTTTTAACCATGATTGTTTAAAGCAAATCATCCTTCAAAATTTAGTTTTGTCTCAAAGCAAGGGTCGATAAAGAGAAACGCAACATAACTCAAAAAATTGAAATTCAAATGCATATCATTTTTTAGATGAATAAGTCTTGTACGAGGAATTTCTCGTATAATGCTAAGATAGTAGCACCCTAGTTTGCACTCGAACAAAGACCTTGGGATACTTGAGTCGAACAATCTATCACTCACAAAGAAAAGTCAAAAGGGATGTTAGAGGTGTCGTTGGTGTTTCCCCTCCGATGTTAAAATCAGTTTCTGAGGACAAAAGTAGACACAAGGCTCAAAGTGCGTTTAGGTTGTATACATTTGCTTCTTAAATTAATCTCCTATTTATACCTTCTAGGAGAGTGGTTGAGTCATGCTAGGTCATCTAGCTCACCATGTTCGGAGGAAGACTTTTGATTGGTTCGTAGCAAAGATAACTGGAATCTTCTTTTGGTCTGGTTAGATGGGCAGGTCTCAAATAGAGTTTTTGGTTCCACTCGATTCTTGACATTCCGTCATTTTGCATGCATGAGCATATGAGACTGCATTAATAACATTAAACACTCGGCATCTTGACTGATGCCAAGCATTTATAGCATATTTAATGTCATTTGTCTTTGCTTTCCTTAAGAGTTAATTGTTTTTCAGAGGCAAGCGTTTTTAAAAAACATTTATTGATTATCAAAATCTCAAGGTCGAGCACTTATTAAGTATTTAAGAACAGTTTTCATGATTGATTGCAATGTATTTTTATGCTCCTTCTGACTTTCAAGGAAGACGAAACCACACCTGCTAATCAATTGAGAATCTATAGAAGACATTCCTTCGATTAGTTCGAGGTAGACATCTCTCAAGGTTGTCTCGACGAGTGAGTCTACACACGGTCATAAATCGGGTGTGTCTCCTCAGTTATTCTCATCATTGTTCCCTTTGTGTCATCGTACTCGAGACTCAGTNATTTTCATGATTGATTGCAATGTATTTTTATGCTCTTTCTGACTTTCTAGGAAGACGAAACCACACCTGCTAATCAATTGAGAATCTGTAGAAGACATTCCTTCGATTAGTTCTAGGTAGACATCTCTCAAGGTTGTCTCGATGAGTGAGTCTACACACGGTCATAAATCGGGTGCGTCTCCTCAGTTATTCTCATCATTGTTCCCTTTGTGTCATCGTACTCGAGACTCAGTTACAACAAATCAAGAGCACCGACTCACACAGAGGCGCTCACCACCGACATTTTGAGGGATGCCGACTCGTTTCTTAATCTCAATTCGGGTGGGTAGATTTATGTGAATCATTAAAACACTTGGGGCATCTCTTCTGAACCGAGAATACACATTACTATGTGCAATCATCACACTTGTAGTGGAACAAGGCCATAGGTGTCACACGTGTTCTTTACTGATTGATCTAGTAGACCGCGTCCTCTCAATTGCCATCGAACTCTTTCAATGGAACATATTTTATCTATATTATGATACATATTTAAATTATAATTTTTTTGATTGCATTTAAATTGTGCCGTGTTTTTCGTCTAAACAATAGTCATGCCCCGTTAGCCCGATAGCCCACCAAGCTACAGGCTACATGCTAATGCGCAGACGGTCGACAATTAATGGCAAACGGGAGAGATCTGACAAGGTCCATGTGCCCTTAAAT